TTCGCCTCTTCGTTTTTTTCTGATTTGCAAAAAAAAAAAAAAAATTGATTCTGGTCCTGAATCAACTGAAAAATGCTCATGTTTTGCCCCCCAACAGTAGAGGAAAGTCCTTTTTTTCCTAGTTGTTACAGTTTTCCCATCTATCATTGCAGTGGTTTGATTAAAAGTTCAAAATTCAATGTTTAAATTTTAACCCAGCCTTTTGTGTTGACTTCATGGCTCATTTTGTAGCATTTAAGCCTATAATAGGATGCCTAGACCTGTTTTTATTTTTATTTTTTTTCGCCCTGTCGCTTCATATTTTTTCTGAAAAAATCCGAGAACCAACAAATTAAATTGGTGTGGCCTTATTTGTCCATTAGTTATTGGAATATAGAAGAGTTTCTGTTAGATGTTCAACTGGTGGCTTTCGTCCATTTCTGTTAAAAGGAAGTCTCATAGCTTTTTTGAGGCTGTAGGGGCAGTGAATTGTTGATCCACTGTGTCAAGTGCATGCATTGGAAGTATGGAAGTCCACAGGACTAATGATGACTGTTTTCAATTCTGAAAACTCCTAAAAAATTCTGAGATGTCAGCAAGACAAGCCTAAAGCTTATTCTAGGAATGTTTGCAGCTTCTTCAGGCTGCAATAGATGTCTGCCAGATGTGTTGACATACCGCTTTACTTACCTTCAAATAAATCTGTCATAATTCTGCCGGGAAGTTTGTCAGCTTGATTCCCTTGCCTTAGGACATGTCTGGATTTCTGCCATGTTTTGTGTATTAATTAAGGTATGGGTGCATCTTTGAATTTTGGAAGAAGTTTCAAGACTATATATATCATTCTCTGTATTGTCTGTCTTTTTTGACGTAAAAAGTTTGACAAAATTGAGATTTTCATAGAGATTACAGTAGTATTACTGATGAACCGATGACTGTTGACTGTAAGTTCAAGACGATCCCCAGCTGAACACAGTAGAGTATTACAGATGAACCGATGACTGTTTGTTGACTGTAGGTTTGAGACGATCCCCAGCTGAACACAGTAGAGTATTACAGATGAACCGATGACTGTTTGTTGACTGTAGGTTCGAGACGATCCCCAGTTGGACACAGAGCGAGCTGTGTTGTGTGTAGAGACGCTCCTTGAGCACTTTGGGGAGAGAAAACGGACGATCCAGGACCAGCGAACCAGCTGGCAGCAGAAACTTCAGGCAGAGGAGCAGTTCAAACAAGACTGGCTACGCTTCATGGAAGAAGTCAAGAAGGTAGAAAATTAAATGTAGATTTCCATAAATAATTTCATCAGGTTGGTAAACGACTGAATAGCAAAGTTCTTTCTATCACAAAGTTCTTTCTATCACAACCATTACACTATGTT